CCAGTCCCCTGCCCCCGTCCCCGCCTCCCGCCAGGCGCCTGCCCAATGCTGGGAAGGGACTGGGGGGCGGTGCTGCCCCGCTGTGTCCTGTTGGAGTAGAGCCCAATTGCCCCCCACTGCCCCCGTGGGACATTCACCTGTGCGGGAGGGGAGCAGGGGCCCGTCTGCTGCCTTCCCCAGAGAAGGGTACAACCAGGGATGAAAGTACCTTAAAATCTTACTGGTACTCACTGTCCTATCACAACCCGGGTCTCAGTTCTTCCTGGTGAGGGGCACTCCCTCACTTTCACCTGTGGGTACAATGCCCCAAGGCTCTGGCCTCCCCTGGGCTGCCAGCTTTCTCCACAGTTTTCTCTGCAAGGGAGATCCAGTATTAACTATTTCCAGATGCTTCCCAGAGCCCCTTTGGTTCCAGGATTTCCTATGGAAGGACTGGCAGGGCAGAAGTGTGCCAGCCAGCGCAGAACCCTATGGCTGCGTCTAGACTGGCAAGTTTTTCAGCAAAAGCACTTGTCAGCTGTCTACACTGGCCGCTTGAATTTGCACGAGAACACTGACGATCTCATGTAAGATTGTCAGTGTTCTTGTGCAAATACTATGCTGCTCCCATTCGGGAAAAAGCACTCTTGCGCAAATGTTTTTGCGGAAGAGGGCCAGTATAGACAGCTAAAAACTGTTTTGCGCAAAAAAGCCCCGATGGGGAAAATGGCAATCGGGGCTTTCTTGCGCAAAAGCGCATCTAGATTGGCACGGATGCTTTTCCGCAAAAAGTGCTTTTGCGCAAAAGCGTCCATGCCAATCTAGACCCAGTCTAGACGTAGCCTATGTGGGAAAGCTCAGTCTAGTCAGGTGGTGTTTTACCAGGCCTTCTCCTACAGGTGCCTTTCTGTATGGTGTTTTGCACATCACACACACTGCACAACTATATTTAAAAGCATTATTAAGGTTGGAAAGTGAAGCTCTCTGAAATTCAGATGTTAGATTTGTGGATGTTTGGGCAACCAATAATGCTGCCTCCTTGTGCATATGCCTTATAGTGCAGTTTTTAATTATGTGATCACATACTAGTTTCTATGGGACCTTTTAGGGCATAGGAGGGTGCCCACTGAATGTGTACTTACACTATTTTTTCCTAAAGTCTCAGAGAGGTAGTCATGTTAGCCTGTAACTTTAAAAACAACAGGTAGTCCCCATGACACTTTAGAAACTAACAAAACTACATAGAATCATGAGCTTTTCATCAGGTGAGTTGGAGTGGGAATAACAGAAACCAAGATGTATAATAGCAGAAGAAGTACCTGTCAATTGTAGGACCTGTGTAATGAGGTTATTTAAGTGGTCTGGATGTGTTCCATTCATAGCTTCTGATGTGAAAATAGAGATGTTAAACATAGGAGAAATTGGATTTGTAATGAACCAATCAGTTAATGTATTTGTTCAAGCTCAGGGCAACTATCAAATTTGTAGATGAATTCCAGTTCTGCAGGTTAAAATATTCCCATATTGGTTTCTGTGTGTTACCATGTCTGATGGTTGATTTGTGTCCATTTATCCTTTGTTGTAAAAAGAGACTGTCTGGTCTGGCCAATATATGTGGCAGAGGGTCATTACCAGCATGCTATATTATATGAATGCTTCACAAACAATTTATTTCATAACTCTTCTGTACTTGGAAGGGTCATTGCCCTCAATTTACAGATGGGAAATGAGACACAGGCAACCTTAATTCTGGCAATTCCTAACTTTTGAGTGCTTGATTTAGCAACCTTAATGTACTTTTAGCATTACTTTGTGAGTAGTGTCCAGGGTTTTTAAAAAAGAGAAAAATGTCTATCATGTCTCGTACTGATACCTACATGGGTTATTAGCAGGCCTTTAGCACCACAGCAAGGACCTCTGCCACATTAAGATAAAGGAGTGACTGATAACAGTAATAGGTTGTCATACTCAGTGTGGACTGGCACCAGAGGAGTTTGAGATGCACAGTTTGTTAGTAGGGTTCATATATATTTTCTGATAGCAGAAGGATGGTGGAGCTTGGATTTTGTTCCAGGTTCTTGAAGGGAATTCAACTGAGTGGTCATAGACCCTTATTCTCCCCTTTCCCTTTTCCCGAGCCTGCTTCTTATGCCCTGTCCCTCTCCCAGTCCTCTTACCCCACCTCCCTATTGTACTGTCCCTTTATCCCTCTTCCTATCCAAGATTCTTATTTAATTTCCATCTCCCAGCACCTGGGGGTTCCAGTTGAATGTTTCCTTCAAGGGTGAGGCTTACTGGTTAAGATTAACTGGTGGGACCT